CACTGCGTCCCCCTGCTTCCTGCTGCCAGCCGCGACAGGGTGGCCGCTGCTGCGGAAGACAGCCTGGAGACCCGGGGTAGCAGAGTGGGTGCTTCGGACACCATGGTCCCAGACCTGGGGTGGCATCCTGTCCTGTGGCTTCCAGCTGTAGAAACTCAGTGACGTGTTTGACTTCTCTGAGCCTCCCTTTCTACGCTTGTCAAACCAGTTGCTGAATAATTGTACACAGAAAGAGAAAGGAAGAAACCCGAGAAGAGAGGAGTCGTCCGCATGTCAGATAAGGGTTGTGCAGCAGAGTGGGGTGAGCGAGCCAGCAGCAGCCTTGTGGGAGAAAGCCCGGGACTCCGTTTGGGGACTGTCGAGTGTGAATCGCCTAAAGGACATCTAACTGGCTTTGTCATTAAAGCTGTGTTGTAGGGAATGAATGTGATAATACACACAAAACATATTACAAGTCCTGACAAATAGCCTGTGCTCATTAAATGTTATGTGCTTATTAATACTAATAAGTAGTATTATGTTTACAGAAGTACCACTCATTGTAGATAAATAAGCTTTATGAAATATGTTCTGTTAAGTTGGGTCACACTATTTTATCTTATTTTTTGTCAAACCCTGTTATCTACGTTCTGGAGAGTAAACCAGAAATGAATGACCAGAATGAGACAGCTTAACAGACCTTCACTAAATCCTCAGGCCGCTGCTGTTGACTGAAACCGTTTTCTGCCCTGGTGTTATATTTCTCCTGTGTGGATGTGTTTGGGGGGAAAATAGCACATAACTGCACCATATCACTGTGCTCAGTGGTAGGGTTTTTCATTTTGCTGTTACACATGTCTACTTCTAGAGGGTGGAAATTGAGCTTGATAATGTCGTCCTGAAGGCCCTCCCCTGGTGTTGCAGAATGCATTGAAGCAAACCTGACTGGTGAGGCTTTGTGGACTTGAGGCAATTTAACTTAATTTGTTTAAAAGGTATTTCGTCTTCACTGGGTAAAATACCTTTTGTGAATGTTGGGTACTGTATTTGAGTCCAGGCAAGGGAACTCTCTTTCAACACTGCAGGATACTAAATGAGTCCCCTCAGACATCTGTAGAGTGTGATCTTCCCTGGGAGAGACTGAAACATGTGCTTTTGTTCCTTTTCAAAATTAAAAGTCTAAATTGTGAGAGATGGTTTTATTTTAAAAGCAAGTGAGGTCCTATTCAAGGTTCTCAGAGCTCAGAAAAAGTTCTCTCCCAAATATTGAAATTGGGTTGGGCAGAGCTCAGCATACTTGGCAAGTTTTCCTTTGAACTGAATGGGCCTTTCAGATGATTCAGTAGATTATCCTGTTCAGACAGAACTTTAGAACTTGTCAGGAACCTACTGTGAGACCAGTCTGCTTACTGATGGCTCAGGCAAGTACCGGGGTATGAATTCGTAGAAGAGTTACCTTGTGCCAGAGCCAGCTCTGGGTTCTGAGTAGAGCAGTGAGGAAGAGAGTATGTATGCATGAGACAGACACATACCTTAACAAATAAAGCAAAATGGTTTTATAGTTACAGTGGTAAGTGGGGCTTCCCAGGGGGTGCAGTGCTGAAGAACCCACCTGCCGGTACAGGAGACATAAGAGATGAGGATTCAATCCCTGGGTCGGAAAGATCCCCTGGAAGAGGAGGGCATGGCAGCCCACTTCAGTCTTCTTGTCTGAAAAGTCCTACGGGCAGAGGAGCTTGGCGGGCTACAGTCCATAGGGTCGCAAAGAGTTGGACACAACCGAAGCAACTTAGCTCATAGCACGTAGTGAGAAGTGCTTTAAGGAAATACAGAAGGTAGGGTGATAAAGGATACCACTGGAAGGCGAGGACCTCAGGAGAATGCTCCAAGGTTCCAGCCAGCATCAGCTAGAGGGTGAGCATACAGCTAAGAGCCCAGGCCAAGTCCTGGAGGTGAGGGCAAGTGTAGAATATGCCTGGAGGTATCAACACCAGGGGGCAGAAGACCACAGCCGGGATAGTGCCAGGAGCAGGGGGCTGTGTCTCAGGTAGGACTGAAAAGGTCGGAGGGCTAAACCACAATGATAAGACATTGGTGAGTTTGGATTTCATTCCAAGCAGGGTGGGAGGTCACAGAAGGGTTTTAAGCCAGTGAATGAGAAAGTCAGATTAATGTTTTCGGAGACCACTGTGGCTGCCCTGTGGACGTGGGTTTCAGCAGGGCACGAGTGGAAGCAGAGCCCGGGTAAGAAGCCTTCCCAGTTGTTCGGTGGAGGGTGCTGGTGTGGGCAGAGCTGGTGTTCGTGAGGATGGAGAGGTCAAGATAGCTGGCTTCGAGGTGGCTTTTAGAAACAACAGGATTTGTTGAGAGGCTGGTGGAGAAGGCAGGAAGAGGCGGGAAGAAGTCGCGCTGGAGGCACGAGCTGGCGGTGCCGTTTGCCGACGCCGGGAGGCTGAGGACAGAGACGCCTGTGCGGGTGGGCAGGTCCTTCAGCTGGGGAAGCTGACGCGCCCCGACCGCCCCCACGGGGGCTGAAGGGGGCCTCCGAGGCCAGAGTGGGGGTCAGGGCTGAAGCGAGAAGTCTGGGGCTGTCAGCGCAGGGCTGGCGCTTAAAGCCACACTCCGTTACAGAGAGCACAAGGACGGGACAGAGGACAGACGCGGAAGCGGGAGTTCAGGTGCCCAGAGGAGACCTCAGGAGCGATGGTGCCAGCTGCTGAGGGCGGGCTGGCAGCTCACGCGCTGCCGGTGGAGCTGGTGAGGAGAGGCACGGCACGTCCCGTGTCTGCGCGTCCATGGGATGCGACGGCCAGGGCGTGCTGGTGACTGTGGCAAGGTGTTTTCGGGGAGGAGGGGGCAGCAGCCAGGCTGACACAGGTCCAGGAGTGACTCAAGGGTGAGACCATGGAGATAGTGTATCAGTGAACAAACAGTGTGTGTTTGGGAGGATTTGCTGAAAAGGAAAGCAGAGAGAGAATAGCTGGATGATGGAGAGAGAATTGAGTTCAAGGGAGCAGGTCTTCAGGTTCTGTTTTTAGTGAGGAGCACTGTTGCACATATACACACACAGGGGCCATGAGGCAGAGAGTTAACGCCTGGTGTGGAGAGAGGAGAGGACTGAAGGAATGGTGTCCTTGGAGGGAAAGAGGCGTGGGGGTTTTACACCTGGGCCCCCTCTCAAAGGCCTTCCCTCTGGCCTTAAAGATAAGATGAATTCTGAAGAGGCCGCGGTCCTGCGCGTGTATTCTGATAACTCAGGAGCACCAGTGGAGGTGGAGAAGAAAAAGCCCCACTCGTGTGGGACCTCGAAGGCTGAGCTGAGGTTGAAGGAGGGACAGTGATGACCAGGGCGCGTGGGCACCAGCGGCAGCGTGTGCTCACGCCGGGGTGGGGGCGGCTGGACGAGGTGGGGTCGCCGCTCCCATGAGTCCGTAGGCAGGGACGGCTGTCAGGCGTTTGTGGGCGGAGTTGACGGGGTCTAGTCAGAAGACGAAACAGGGTCCCCACAGAGAGTCATGGTGTCAGGCGTCACTGGGGATGCTTGAGACTCCAGGAAGCACACATTGTCCAAAGGGGCTAAGAGGTTTTGTAGAAATGGGAGAAGTAATAGAGATACAGAGTTATTTCTGAGCTAAAAGGCAGCTTTTCCCTGCCTGTCAGCATGGTGGGCCTCGGGGAGCGGCAGACTGGGGATGGTAGAGACCTGTTTCAAGGGTCTCTTTGTCTAGGCGTGGAGTTTATTCATACTGTTTTATTATTTTAATATGCTTTTACTGTGAAACCTTAGAAAAGAAATTTCTTTCCTTAGCTCATCAGCACATTCAGGTTTGACAGATCCTATTTAAGTTTAAAGACTTGCCTAAGAAAATAAAAATCCAGCGTTTTGTCGTCCCTTTTTGTTCTGTTTTAAATATTGTAAATAAAACTAGAGAATAGAGAATTCTAGCTTTGCCTTGCAGGGTGTGACATGTGATGGTTTCTTATCTTTGTCTCTTCCTCTTGGAATTTTGCTTCCCTTTCCTCCTCAGGAGCCTCTTAGTCATCTCACAAACCACCTACTTCCTTAGGGGTGACTGCTTCCTAAGTGGGCAGGGATGGGCGGGCAGGGTTCAGGGTCAGAGAAGGTTCTCCCAGAATGAGGGCTGCTGCCTCCTTCCCCAACACCTCCCCACCGCACTGTCTGCTGTGGCAAAACCCTACAGCCGTCAGGAAGGACTCGAGTCCTGTTTGCAGAAGAAAGAAATTATTACAGTACCTGGAGGAAGGAGGAGGAGAAAAAGCCCACGTTTCTGGCTTGTGCCCTTGAGCTGTAAATTCTCAAGGACTCTCTTATAAATCTCCTGGAATCGCTGTTGGAAATCCGCATTCCCTCAGAGAGCAGTGTAGGGCTATCACATAACAATTTCTGAGGCCTTCCCCCGAACCCAGCTCTGACGCTTTGAAAAAACCTTCAGAATAAAACTGCAGAGTAAACCTCCATTTTAACAGTGTTGTTTTTCTTATTTGGCACGAAAGAAATTAGATTTCCCCAGCCGGTATATCCAGAATTTCTCCTGTCTTCTACCTGTGTACAAGTGCACAGAAATATGCCTCCACACGTATGCACACACCCCTCAGATGCCTTAGGACTGTCATTCTTGTAAGTGGGCAGAAGTACAGCTGTGAACTTCAGGACCAACCTTACCTTCTTTGAGGGTGTGTGTGCGTGTGTGTGTGTGCTTGTGCGCGCTGAGTTGTGTACGACTCTTTGCGACACTATGGACTATAGCTTGCCAGGCTCCTCTGTCTGTGGGCTTCTCCAGGCAGGAATACTGGAGTGGGTTGCCATTTCCTATTCCAGGGGATCTTCCCGACCCAAGGATTGAAACCACGTCTCGTCTCCTGCATTGGCAGGCAGGTTCTTTACCACTGACACCATGGACATCAGCTAGAGTTAGGTATTGCTTGCACTCTCTTGCCTTAAAAAGACCACGTTCCCTCAGAGAATTTCTAAAGAGTTGTCTTTTTTTCTCTCCTTCCAGAGGGCCAGTTAAGAGTGGATGCCAATATATCTGTGCATCGCCCTGGGGAGCCTTTGGGCGTTCGAACCGAAGTGAAGAATCTCAACAGTGCCCGATTTTTGGCCAAAGCTATAGGTGAATGTCAGCTGTTACTCCTCCTATACTTCTTTGTAGCAGTTTTCTGTAGCTATGTAATAAGCATCCCCCCCCCCAACTTAATGACTTACATGATAACATCTCCGCCTCATAGTTTTGTGGGTTGGGTGGTTTTCTGCTGGTCCTGCCTCGGCTCTTTCATTTGACTCTGGGGACCCAGCACTCTGCTGAGAAAAAGAGTCCAAGAGGACCTTACACGCTGGGGCCTTGGTGCCAGACATTCGCTGGGTTTCTTTACCCTTGTGGGATTTCTGCACTCACTTGCCTAGCCCGGGCTTTCTTACTTGGCAGAGGTGCCATCCTAGGAGGATGAAGGCAGATGCCTCAAGTCCTCCTGGTCTTTAGTTCTAGAACTTGCACATTTCTTTCAGCACATTCCATTCAAAACAGGTTCAAGGGGAGGGGGAGGAAATAGACTTTACCTCTGTGGGAGGATTTGCAAAACTCTGTAACTGTTTTTCCATGTACCAGGACCAGTCTGAACTGTATAAAGTCATATTTGTTTGTTGTAGATTAGCCACAATTTGACCTAATCGGTCATTTTGTTTTTCTGGTTTTAACTGTTTTAACTAATAGATGGCTTGAAAGTGAATGTGTTAGTCGCTCAGTCGTGTCTGACTCTTTGCTAACCTGTGGACTGTAGCCCACCAGATCCTGTATCCATAGAATTTTCTAGGCAAGCATACTGGAGTGGGTTGTGATTCCCTTCTCCAGGGGATCTTCCCAACCCAGGGATTGAACCTGGTCTCCTGCATTGCACGCAGATTCTTTACAGTCTGACCCACCAGAGAATAGATTGCCTAGGCCTGTGTAATCGAGTAGTAGTCTTACTGGAGCGCACGCTGTGGGTCTTTCAGTGTGGACAGATGCATACTAGTAATTAAAATAGGAGAGCTGAGCAAGCTCAACAGCTGGAGTGGCCCATAGATGACGATGACTGTGACTGTGAGGGGATGACATCTCAGAAGAGTGAAAGCACTCTTTAAAACCAGAGGTATCTAAGAGGAGGAGACAGAAGGGAGGAGGTGGAGGTTAAGGTGCATCCTTCACGGTGCACAGAGCAGAGGATGGATGAAGGTGGCTCCCAGCCCAGAGGTTTAGTATCATCCTGCGTGTTAGAAGGAACACAGATTTTCTAGTCTTTTGTAAAACTTTATTGTCCTGAACCTGAAATAATCAACCAGCCTTAATGAAGACACTGTGAGCCTATACATTTTCAGGAAAAAGGCATTAACATGGTCAACGGCCTCCAATACGCAGCTGTATCATTAACCTCGGGTATGAAGATGACACCACCCTTATGGCAGAAAGTGAAGAGGAACTAAAGAGCCTCTTGAAGAAAGTGAAAGAGAAGAGTGAAAAAGCTGGTCTAAAATTCAACGTTCAAAAAATGAAAATCTGGCATCCGGTCCCATCACTTCATGGCAAATAGATGGGGAAACATGGAAACAGAGACTGTTTTCTTAGGCTTCAAAATCACTGCAGATGGTGACTGCAGCCATGAAATTAAAAGACACTTGCTCCTTGGAAGTAAAGCTATGACCAACCTATACAGCATATTTAAAAAGCAGAGACATTACTTTGCTGACTAAGGTCCATCTAGTCAAAGCTATGCCTTCTCCAGTGTTCATGTATGGATGAGTGAGTTGGACTGTAAAAAAAGCTGAGTGCTGAAGAATTGATGCTTTTGAACTGTGGTGTTCAAGGGACACGCTCAAGGACCCTTGAGAGTCCCTTGGACTGCAAGGAGATCAAATCAGTCCATCCTAAAGGAAATCAAGCCTGAATATTCATTGGAAGGACTGATGCTGAATCTGAAACTCCAATACTTTGGCCACCTGATGTGAAGAACTGACTCTTTGGAAAAGACTCTGATGCTGGGAAAGATTGAAGGCAGGAGGAGAAGGGGATGACAGAGGATGAGATGGTTGGATGGCATCACCAACTTGAAGGACATGAATTTGGGTAAACTCTGGGAGTTGGTGATGGACAGGGAAGCCTGGCGTGCTGCAGCCCATGGGGTCACAAAGAGTTGTACGCGACTGAGTGACTGAACTAAACCGATGGTCAAGGGGATGACATACAGAATGTATTGGGGGAACTTCCCACATAAAGACAAGCAAATGAGGGTGGACTCTTCTGCTTGTGAAAGGAGACACTGTCCATGTGTCTGAGGCTGTGAAAGGTCTGGGTCAGGAGAAACCCTTCCAGCTCAGGTTGGTGAAGGCGAAGCTTGGAACGAACAGAAGAAAGTTCCACTTCGCCGTGTAGGTGAGTGTCCCGGAGCTCATTATTCTAAGAGGTGGTGATTGGAGCTTAAAAAAACAAACAGCAAGATTTTAGGTAGATTCATCCCAGTTGAGTCGTGAAGGCTTTGGCTGCCCCTAGCCTTCTGTTGCTCTGTGAAGTCCCTGTGGGGCAGTCTGAGACAGAGCTCTACCTGCGGTCGGACTGGGACGGGAAGAACCCAAGCTTTCCTGTTACAGACTCGAGTCTCCAAGCCTATAAGTTTTCCACCCCAGTTTTCTCCGTACATCAGGCCTTTTAGCCATCCTCTTGGTGTTTGTTGCTTTTTGTCAGCTCAGATAAGAGTCAGGATTTGGGTGAGGGCAAGGGCAGTATGTTGCAGTGGGGAGTTAAGGAGGGAGGGAAGGCTGAAGCTCTTTCCATAAAGAAGCTTGGCAGCTGAGGCTGTGTTCTGCTTACCTCTTCTGCCTTGTTCGGTGGTGAGGGAGCATGGCATAGAGCAGTGGCTCTTCATCATTTGGGGCCATAGATCCCTTTGAAAATACAGTGAACATTCTGGATCATTTCTCCAAAATCTGTGCCTAGGCACACACCCACATTTGTAAATAATCCCAGGAAGTACCAGAACCCCTTGAAGCCTGTCGATGGATCCTGGGATAAACACTCTTTGATAAGCAAGGGTCCTAGATCCGAAATCACTTGTCCTCAATGTTGGTCCTGGCTCTTCTGCCAAGTCATGTACTTGTGTTCTGTACTAGGTCACTTAATTCCTCTAAACCTGATTTGCTCAAAAAGTGAGAGAGCAGAGCTTCCTAGAAGACCCTTCCCAGCTATACTATTCTATGATGGCAGCAAGAAAAAAAAATACAGCATCTGTGGAAAGAATAATAAACAACTCCCTTGATTATTTTTTGACCTAAAGATTGAAAGAGTTCCAATCATTGCTTAACTGGATAAAGGAATCAAATATGATACTAAACTATTTTTTTTTTAGACTATGAAATTCAGAGGCAAATCAATGAACTCGAGAATGGAGGTGAAATTCTGAATGAAACTCGCTCATTTGATTACAAGCTTGGGTGAGTTTGCATGACAGCATCTTGAATACAGTTTGGTGGGGCCCTGCAGACCAGCCGTGTCACCGTGAAGAAGGTACCTAGCTTCTCTGCGGTCTGGTTTCCTCATTAGGAAAATACCATACCCCACAGGGATGTGATACACCCTCCAGGGCTGGTGACAGATTTCACTTGAGTGAACCAGACTTGCCGAGTCTTAGATCCTGGCCCGCCCCTGGATTCCAGCTTACCTCCTTTGTGCCAAGAATTTTTACTTCCTTAAATCCTATCAGACCTGCCAGTTTCAGCTTAGAAGTAGAAGAAAGCTTGAAACTGGCTATAGAGGGGTGTTTATCTGCTCAGTATCTCTGAGTCCTAACTTTCTGATCCTTTGTTCCTGGTGGCTCAGACAGTAGAGTCTGCCTGCGATGCAGGAGACCTGGGTTCAGTCCCTGGGTCAGGAACATCCCCTGGAGGAGGAAATGGCAACCCACTCTAGTATTCTTGCCTAGAGAATCCATGGACAGAGGAGCCTGGTGGGCTACAGCTTACGGGGTTGCAAAGAGTCGGCTATGACTGAGCAACTAACTCTTTGACTTCTTCATACACTTAACAGAAGACTAGGGGGAAGATTCCTAGAATCAGAACCTAGAAACTCCAAAAGCCTGGAGTTTGAGCTGGTTAAGTGTTGGAAACATTGAAGCAATTTCTTTTTTTTTTTTTAATTATCATGCTAGGCATTTGTCTTTCTTTAATATCATTTCGGCAGCGTATTCAGGAAAGTGTCTCCCACAGAAGCAGAGGAGCTTGAGTCCCTTGGCTCCCCTGTTGGTAGCGAACCCCTGCCTGCATCCACGCCAGCCTTTGCTGCAGTGCTTTTTTAAATGTTTTCTTGTTTAACTGTCACAGGTGCACCGTGCCGATGAGAGACAAAGAAGGAAAACAAGACTACAGGTGGTCACTCCCGTTGTCAAAAGGCCGTTCTCTGTTTGGCTCGTACTCCAGGCCCGCACAGGGATCCTGGGTGGCTTTTGGGGACCGCTTTCTGTTGTCGTCGTTGCACGGTGGAAGATCCAGGGTTCCTGGTTTATGTGGGTACTGAGAGGAAGAGTATTTTGATTTGGGAGCCTTGGAGTGCCTTATTTGACAGGATTCAATGGTTGGAAAACACTTAGGCGCTCACCTCTGCGTCAGAGCTGTTATACCTGAGCTGAGAGGATGGCCGTGAGGGTGGGACCCAGGCGGTCCCCATGCTTCCTTTCAGTGGCAAATTCAGTAGCACAAGGACTGTAAGAAGGTGGAAAAAAGAGCTGTGTATGTTAACGGCAGTTCCCGTCACATCTCGGGTAATACTGTTTAGCAAGTTAGACTTATATGAGATCCAGAAATAAAGCAAATGAGAAGAATGGCTCTGGGGACTTCCCCGCTGGTGCCCAGTGGTTACGACCTCACCTTCCTACACAGGGAGGCCGAGACATTGAAACAGTGACACCCTGATCGGGGAGCTAAGATCCCGTATGCCTCAACCACCGAAAAAACATAAAGCAGAAGCAATATTTTAACAGTTTCAGTAAAGATTTTTTAAATGTTCCACATTAAAAGAAAAAAGGAATAGCTTAAGATAAATTGAGCCTCTTGTTTCTTCCCGTTTATCAGACTGCAGAAGTTAAAAGTTTAAGCCACAAAGTGGTAGAGGTTGGCACTCTCCTTTGTGAAGTGCAGGAAGATAACGCAAGTAGCCATGGCTGTCGATGAGGAGCAAATAGAGCATCGCGATTTGGGAAGGAAGCAGCTCGTAAACCCTAAGTGGATGTCCCCTCACGGACGCCTCTCGTGTGTCTGTTGGAGTCACCCTTGTTCTCGTTGCTGTGGTCTCTCCAGGTTCAGTCTGTTTTCGCCGAGAAACTTCTCTGTGTCCCGCGTGGCCCCCGCTCTGTTCGTGCTGTGTTCTCACCCAGCATGGCGCTGGCCTTTAGCGGAGTCAGTGGCTTCAGGTCGCTCCCCCAGGCTAATAGATGAGCTTTGGGAAGCCTCCCTTTGCTTTCCTCTTGCCTTCAGAAGTCAGGCTGATTCATAGCACAGATTTGGCATTGAGGTGATGGGTTGCTTGCATTTCTGATCTATTACCTTGGAGCCACCATTTATTCTGCGTAACCCTGCTTCTGCATAAGCCCTTTGACAAGTGGGGCAGAGGGAAAAACGTTAGATGCTAGAATAAACAAAAGGGAAGGACGCCTTAGTTTGACAGGAGCAGATGCAGTGATGTGGCGTCTGCGTTTTTTTTAATGGACTTTTTTATTGCAGTCATAGTTTTACAGCAGAATTGAGCGGAAGTTAGAGTTCCCATGTACTTCTTAGTGTATGCTGTATACCCCCCTCCCACACACACACACACTCACATAGGTTTCCTCTTATAACGTCTTGAATTAGTGTGTAATGTGGTAAATTTGTTAAAATTGATGAACCAGTATTGATACCTTTGTAGTAACTGAAGTCCATAGTTCACCTTAGGGTTCAGCCTTATGTCGTCTGTTCTGTGGGTTTGACGACATATAATGACATGTGTGCACCATTACGTGTCACACAGAGTGGTTTCACTGCCCTGAAACCCCGCTGTGCTCCCCGATTCATCCCTCCCTCTCTTCTACCTTCTACATTTTATTGGGTTGGGCCAAAAGTTCTTTTGGGTTTTTCCATCAGATATTATAGAAAAACTTGAACAAGCTTTTTGGCAAACCCGATATTTAGCGAAGTCCATTTATTTATTCCAGTTCTCAAGAAGGAAAGTTTCCTTTACCTAAAAACTGCTAAAAATATTGAAAATTTTAAAGTGGGGGAAGTCACCTTTCTTCCTAAACAGTAAGTTGCTCTTGTTTGGTCCGGTTTTCTCCAGTCTGTGTCTTGTGAGTGTGCACTTTATCCATAGTTATAAATGGCAGGGCAGCATCCCCCATGCCTTTTTCACGCAGTGCTCATTTGTAAGCCCAGAGAGTGCTGGATTTGGTTGTTCTGACCTTACATGTATACAGGGACTAGTTCCTGGAAAAGTAGGAGACTTGGTGTGGGATTTCAAAAAATATTTGTAACAGCATCTATAGACAGACTTTCACATTGACTGTAGTTTTGTGTCTTCCAACTCAACCCAGTACGGAGAGTCAGGCCGTCTCCTCTCTGCCCCCAGGTTCATGCCAGAGCCCAACCTGCCCCCGCTGCTGCTCTACGACTCCGGCTCCCTCCCCTCCGGCGCAGACCCGCAGCAGGTGATCAACGTGGACCAGCTGAGGGCGCGGCTCCCCGAGCTGCCCCACGTGACCCGCGAGAGGCTCGTGCAAGAGTACGGGATGCTGCCGCAGCACAGCTGCGCCCTGCTGGTGAGTCCTCCCGCGGGGCGGCTGGGGGGCCGGCTGGGGGCTCCGGGCGGAGTGGGACGGCTGCACTGCACCCTGAAACCAGGCGTGCTCGCCTTCCTCACCAGCCTCCATGGTGGACACTGCTCCGAAGACCCACGAGGCAGGCTCTCCTGTCAGTCATTTCTTGTGCGTAGACTTGAAGAGCTGCTCACAGCAGCCGTGGAGGCTTCCTGAAGACAGTCCGGATGTTACGGATGGCTGTTCTCTTGTCTGTCTGCAGGACAACGGGAAATCAATGCATAGGCTTTCTGGATGTCTGGCAGTGTTGAACCATGACAGGGTCTGGCAGGAAGTTGGGTTCTCACAAAGCAGACAGTTGTTTTACCGACTATAGAAGAAATGTTTATTCCACACGAAATGCTGCAAACTCTGACTAAACGTATCGGCCTTTGGAGGATACCTCTGAAGGGGCCGTTAAGAATCTGACACCATGGAGATGTGCTCAGGGATTTTCCATCCTTTCTAGGGCTGCCGAGCTCGGCGGTTCCACTGGTCATGGCCACATTAAAGTGACCCCGCATCCATGAGAGTGGCATTGCATCACAGTTGTCCTCTGCCTGCCTGTCAGGGGGGCTGTGCAGAGTTTCTCCGTGGCGCCTCTCAGGGACAAGCTGTCTGCCACACTCGTCATGTGGAGCACGGAATCTCTGGGAAGTCTGGGCTGTTGCATTGTGATTGAGCGGTAACTCTGCGGGGATGTTAGGATATTCAAGTTTGTGTATGTATTTATACACTTCAGTGACAAAACCCTGCCATTTCTGGTGCATGGTAGATGAGTGAATGCTTATTGAATGAATGAGTCTCTGTTTATCACCCACAGATCAGCTCATTAGAAAAGAATCAGTATAGAAAACTCAGTGTTGTCAGATTGACCTGGAGAAAACTCGTGCGTCCCGAGAGTCTTGAGGTTGGCAGACGCCTGCATGAGACGGGCAGGCAGCCCTGTCGCCGCATCAGACCAAGGTTCTCTTCTCACGCTGCAGGCCGGGCGGCCCGCCGCCTCCCGCGCGCTGCTGTTAGGTCTTAGCCACACCTCTGTGGCGATTGTATCACTGTATTCTAGTTCTTTATTAACTGGTGTGTTTTCTTCCGGCAAGGACTGTCTCATCCTCTCGCCATGGTATGCAGTACCGAACACCAAGCCTGCAGTGACCCAGCGAGCCCCTTGTTCAGAACACCTTTTAACCGAAACCTCTTGGAATTCACAAACTGTTCCCGAGTTGAGTTAACAAACCCAAATTTTAGTCTCACACACCTTCCCCACCATCTTGAATTTCCAGCCCACTTGAAATCAACTTCAGGCTGAACACTGAATGCTGAATTCTAGGTCTGCGTTTTGTAATGTATTTGCCAAATTCTGTAAGGATGGGAGAGGGCACATACCGAGGCTTCTCAGCCCCAGAGCTAATGTTCACCTCTAGCAAGTTCTCTGAAGGAGACACATGTTCATGTCTATGTCCTAGGCTCCACTTCTGTGTCCTTCAAGTGCCTCAGCCTCAGAGGCCTTGGAGGAATGTTTGCAGAGGGTGGCAAGTGAGTGAGTTTCTGGTTTTCTCACAATTTAAAAGCCCTGTTTTGTTGTTGTTTGTTGTTATTAAGTCGCTAAGTCATGTCCAACTCTTTGTGACCACATGGGCAGCACGCCAGGCTCCTTTGTCCTCCACTCTCTCCCAGAGTTTGCTCAGATTCATGGCCATTGAGTTGGTGATCCTGTCTAACCATTGCATCCTCTGCCACCCTCTTCTCCTTTTGCCTCAGTCTTTCCCAGCATCAGGGGCTTTTCCACTGAGTCATCCCCTCCCTTCAGTCATGTCCAACTCTGCAACCCCATGGACTGCAGCATGCCAGGCCTCCCTGTCCATCATCAACTGCCAGAGCTTACTTAAACTCATGTCTATTGAGTGAGTGATGCCATCTAACCATCTCATCCTCTGTCGTCCCCTTCTCCTCCTGCCTTCAATCTTTCCCAGCATCAGGGTCATTTCCGATGAGTCAGTTCTTCACGTCAGGTGGCCAAAGTATTGGAGTTTCAGCTTCAGCATCAGTCCTTCCAATGAATATTCAGGACTGATCTCCTTTAGGATGGACTGGTTGGATCTCCTTGCAGTCCAAGAGACTCTCAAGAGTCTTCTCCAACACCACAGTTCAAAAGCATCAGTTTTTTGGTGCTCAGCCTTCTTTCTCTCACATCCACACATAACTACTGGAAAAACCATAGCTTTGACTATATGGACCTTTGTTGGCAAAGTGATGTCTCTGCTTTTTAATACCCTGTCTTGGTTTATCATACCTTTCCTTCCAAGGAGCAAGTGTCTTTTAATTTCATGGCTGCAGTCACTGTCCACAATGATTTTTGAAGCCCAGGAAAGTAAAATCTGTCACTGCTTCTATGTTTTCCCCTTCTATTTGCCATGAAGTGATGGGACCAGATGCCATGATCTTAGTTTTTTGAATGTTTAGTTTCACATCAGCTTTTTCACTCTCCTCTTTCACCCTCATCAAGAGGCTGTTTAGTTCCTCTTCATTTTCTGCCATTAGAGTGAACTTCCAGATATATAAGCCCTGATTATAGAAACTTATTTTTGTCTATTCACTTCAGCACTTTTATTAGCATCTTCTATGCAGCAGGTACTAGGATGGGGACAGAGACACTTCTTTGATTTGTTTTCTTTGCTTTCCAAGAATGTGTATATATGCCACCACAGCTAACCAGCCCCCAGAGCAGACAGATTGCATTAGATAGTAGATGTATGATGCAGGCCAGGAGCCCAGAAGAGGTAGGATGACCTTGATGGACAAGTGGGGAAAACTCTCAAGGAGGTGCTGGCTTTTAAGCCAGTTTTATAAGAGCTTTATTTATTTTTTTTTTTGATATATTAAAACTGTGCTTATTTTTATAGCTTGCAGATAATGTATTAGGTGATTCATTTTGCAGTATGTGTTTTTTTTTTAATGGCTAATACTTGAAATTTTCAAGAAAAATGAGAAGAGAACTAGTAATATGGAAGGAGGATGATTCAGACGATTTCTTTCCCTGAAATTAGGCACCGTGAGCTCTTGATGACTTAGTAATCATTGGAAGCTGAGTTACTCATAACATACCCGAAAGTAGTATGTTCATGTTTTTTTTCTGACTTCCTCAGAAATACAACAGATTGCTGAGAAGGGCAGATGCACCAATCTAATGAACCATCTTTCAATTTAAAGAATGCCTGGGAGTATTCACTAAATCAGTAGCTGGTGGAGGTGTGCTCTGCGGAGCCTTTGGGTCGCTGATTAAATTAACCATTAGGCATACAGTCTTTACTGGTATCACAGTCCTTCCCCATGAATGGTAAAAAAATAATAATAAACTTCAGAGCTTAACTGTTATTTTTAATTTTTTTTAATTGAAGTATAGTTGCTATACAATGTTATTTAAGTTATATACGTACAGTATAGTGAGTCACGGTTTTTCAAGGGTGTGTTCTGTTTATTGTTGCTGTGATATTGGCTGTCTTCCCTGTGTTATACAACTCTGGCCTTGTCGCTGTACTGTGTGGTGAGCACTGAATTGTGTAGTAATAATTTCTTCTTGGCATTTACAAAACTCTAATATAGTCTGTCTTAGCATCCACTGCAAAGTCTGGCACACAGTAGGCAGTGGTGAACAGATGGACAGATCTGTGGGTGAGTGGGAGTCTGTCACAACACTCAATGAAGCCCTGGAGAAAGCAGCGTTCCTGATAAAGCATCCCTGTTTCCCAAAGGCAGGTATATAAAGCACCCTTTTGACAGCCCAGCAAATCAGGGTGGTACCTGTGCTGCTGAGCTTGGCGGGAGAAGCCTGGGTTTCCGCCTCAATCAGGCCGCGTGCCGCGATTGGCCGTCGAACACTTGGTGTCCCTGCCTCCTAAAGAACTTGTTTCTTCAGGACCCTGGAGTCAAGTGTGCGTTGATGATCATCTTGTCATCTCGTAAGCCTGCATGATGATCCCCTCCCAACAGCTAACCTGTGTGAGCATTTCTTCATGAAACGTGTCATGTCCCATCTGAAGCTTCAGCCTGGGGAGCCCTCCTTTCTTCCCTCTCTGTCAGGCTGCCAGATTTCTGGCCTCATTTGTCAGGAGTCAGGCATGGACGTGTGGAGGGTGAGGTCGAGTCATAGGATTCCAGAGAAGTGAGAGATCCCAGTAGCATAGCACGTCCTTCTCTGAGTCAGTGTCCAGGAGTAGTTGTGAGGACGGTCAAGGTTCTGTGCAGGAGCGTTTTTTTAGCGTGTAATAAAGGTGATTCTGTGGAATGTCTCTTCCTACACCCTGCTTTGCTGAGCAGGGAATCCAGATGCATTGTTGCCATTGGCCCGGTAGGCAGCTCGGGGTCAGTCGAGGCTGTTAGCTAACAGTGGGTTCCGTGGCTCACAGTGGACCAGTTTATAATCTAGTCCATCGTCCCAGCACCCCCTGCAGGGGTACCATCCGTCTCCCCATTTTTCTGGTGAGGAAGTGTCATGTCTGAGGTTGAGTGAGACACAGTGACTCTGTCAGACTTGAGAGGGCGCTGACTGCAGCGCCCAGGCCCTCCGCTTCTGAGCCCCTGCCTGCTTGGACGTGACTGTGCCACAAGGCCCGGTGGAAGTCCTGTTTCAAGCTCGTTGCTGTTTTGAGTCACCTAATAGAGAAACTTGTGTGGGTATTAATACTTTATCCAGCCACGCTGAGGCTTCATGAAACAACAGTCATAGAATGTCAGTCCATTTAAACCTTTTTCCCACCCCTCTAGGTTTTTAAGATGCCAGCCTGCCCTATAAATAAACATAAGTGCTGTCTGCTAAATTTAGTGAAAATCAGTCAACTCCAGTGGGAAGCAGAAATTTTGTTCATTTTCCAAGTAGAAAAGCCATGTAAGCTCTGCCACAGTTCTGTTTATTTTGTTTCTTAGACTTTGTGCCTTAGGTACTTGTCCCAGTCTGACGGAATGTT